TTAAAGTTCAGGATTTATCAAGCTTGCACACGCTTATCATTTTTCTATGCAAAAATAACGGAACATGCCTGGTTGATTACAAAAACGCCATGTTAGTAAAACGAGATGATTGGTGATTATATAAAGAAGCAGTTCTGTCGTGATTAGTTGTTGAATGCAAATTCTAATATAATGACTTCATTGTTAGTCAACAAAGAATCAACAATGGCTGTGTTTCAAGCCAATGGGGCATGAAGTAACCCTTGAAAATGTTTTGCTATTGGATGCCTTGGGCGCAACCCCAATTATGTTGAATTAATTAGACTCAGTGTTCGTAGTGCTCCGTAATATGATCTTGTATTCCTGTAGAATTCTCTTTTGTAAAATTAAAAAGGCCCAAAGAAAATTGCAATGCATTAAAAAGTAAGTCGTTCAATGAACCTCCAAGTATAAAAATAGGATATAGGATGTAATTCTTGTCAGGAAAATAAAATATTGTTAAAATTATTTTGTTCAAAAGAATAATTTAGTATGTTAATTAATTACCCTAATTTATTTGTAGCGTGGTGGCACTGTAGCTTGCAGTTTATTGTACCACCATTTGAATGTCCCACTACTTTCTCAATTACTCATTCATTCATTCATCGTTATTAATTTCACATCGTCGATGGTTAAACGCTTGTTGGCTAGATCACATGGTGGCATGGCCCATGGTAATCGTCCCACCCGACAATCATCAACGACGTGACTGGAGATATCACGGCTTAACAGTTGCGAGAACGCAGATGTACACTAATCTCACGCTAGCCGGTCGGCTAGGGATGGTTTCTAGGGGATGGTTTGGCAAAAGTTTATTTGATGCTATTAAATCATTTAGACAATAACTGGCCAGATTCCTATAGGACATTCGGTATATATCCTACACCGGCACGTGTCGCAAGAAAGTTTATTTCGCTAATATCAAATATTTCAGCCACTTATTTTTCAGATTTACAGACTTTTCGGATTTCTATTTACGATTTCTCGATAATAAATTCATAATTTTTAAAAAAATAGTTAATTTAAATAAAAATCCAGTACCTAATTAATAATACCTAATTCTAATTTTTTTCGAACTGTTTTTAAGAAAATTAAACAAAATTACGTCACAATTCCGTGAAATAAAACGAGAAAATCTAAAAAGAATCATTTCAAAACACTTACCTAGCTTTATGCCGAATTCCTTTCTGAAACACAGTCAACTGCCCGACAATTTAATCGCCCATCCATGAAACAAATCATTTTCTAACGATTTCGTATACAAGATAATTATGTAGACGTGAATTTACAAATACAGTGTGCAAAGGTCAACCGAATAACGAATTGTCAATGTTGCCAGTATTAAATTCCCTGTGTATTTGAAATGCACGTTATTTCGTCTCCTGTTGAACTATAAACATATCAAAACTTTACTCCGAATACAGTGGATGTGTTGATTGTTGAAAAATGGTTGGAAACGATTTGATTTGCTTGTTTTTAGATCTATCGACGAGTGCCTGAACTAAATTGTTGGTAAAACACGGTTAGCCGCGTATATTATTTGAAATTTCAGCTTGTATTTTATTTCTTTTTTTCTCTCTTTAGTGTTTTAAAGGTGGTTTTACATCAAAATAGCTGTCAATTTATGTAGAGCAACGTTTGGTTTATTATTATTAGTGTTTTGTGAAAATTACAGTGTAGTTAAGCAGTTGTATTTAACTAGGTAGTAATAAGAAATTAGATAGTTTTAAGATTTTTATTACATGAAAAAAAATACATTGCGTTGTTCGTAAATTGTTATGAACGTTTCTTGCATCTGGCTGTAAATGTTTTATATTTAAAATATCTAAATCATCGTTTAATTTCATTATTTAAATATGTTTTTTTTTGTTTTTCAAACCATTCAAATTAAAACAGTAAATAAACGCTAATACAGTGAGTGGGTGGCTCAGTGGCAGAGTCTCTGTCTGCGGATCCAAGAGTCTCAGGTTCGAATCCCACCGTTGGCCGGGATTTTTTCATTTAATTTAATTATTTAAAATTAATACTGATGCCTTGGTAGGATTCCCCACTCGGCCATTCTCTGTTTCGTTCTAATTAACAGTGCCGTTCCTGGGAAACAGTAACAAAGCCTACACAGAACACGAGGCGAAATAACCTTAGCAGTTGAAGCCGATGACACACAAAAAAAACGCTAATACAAAACCATAATTAAAATATAATGACAAACTCACTCCAAGGTACCAAGTCTTCTTTGACAGGGCACGAATTATAGACTAATAAGTAGGTACATTTGTAGAATCGAAATAATTCATAAAATCTATATTGACTGTAAGATTACGTTTAATTTCATTTTTGAAAATATGTAAATAATTATAATCTCAAAGATGTCGGTTGTTATTTTTTTCCCGGTTTTCCTTTGTCTGTAATCGATCGAACTAATAAAGTCATCAAATTAATTCCGATACACCCCTAATATCTTTTCGATTGCGGAAAATTCCAAAATAAGTAAATATCATCCAGCTATTTACCGATACAGGATTTGTTTGTCTTATAAATTGGAATTAATTTCTCTTTGGTAAACCAATTTAAGAGCAGTGGCGGAGCTATTGCGTCCAAATATAGCATTTCCTGTTAGAAATACGTACTTATTTATTTCCAGACTTAGAAATAAAGTCTTGGAAATATCCCGAGTCCATTGGCTTTCTTTATTGTTTAAATGTAAAATGGATGAAGCAAAAAGTTACATCATGTTATTATCGAGGGGCAAACCGCTAAGGAAGTCTTGTGTAGAGATTCAATAAAGTCCCTTGGAAATAAATGGAAGTCCGTGGAAGTTCCTTGAAGTCACTTGAAGTCAATATGAAGTCATGAAAGTCTGGAAGAAGTCCATGCAAGTCATGATGAAGTATTTTTAAAGTTTGTCCAGCATTTGATATTGTGCAGAAAACGTACAACAAAACGGCATAGGTATATAGCCAATGAAATGCTGTATTTACTCACCAAAACGCCACTTCTGTCCAGCAATGGTAATACTTAATTTACTGCTGTCCTAGCAAAAAAGGTTCCATCTTCAAAATTAGCAGTTTTTTGATTTATATACATGTGTACGAGTTATCCAATTAATATTTTCTATGACTCTTGTTATAATAAAAATTATCAACAGGGTCTAAATCGTTTCAACAATAGTCAAGTAGAATTATATAGAATTATAAGTTTGCTAATGTGTTCAAAGTGGAGGCAGAAATGATAGATTTACGATTTTCAGCTAAAATTTCTGTTTTTTATTTCTTTGGTATTTAACATTTTAGCATTTTAACAGTTTTATATGTAAATATCAAACAATATAAAACTACAACATAAATAACTAGTTGAAGGGAATAATTGTTTTCATATAACAAAGATTTATCAAAAATTAAAAATAGACTGAAATTCCTGATGACCCCAGCAGCTTCCCCTGGTAGTTCTGCCTCTGTGTAAAGGTGTCGGTGATGGGAGCAATACGAATTTTGTGAGAAGGGCTCGAAAACAGATGAGGTTGTCGCCTGGGGACGAGTTTAGTCCGATCATCCACCTGGGACCTTACTAACAAACCAATATCTTTCACCATCGTCTGCAGACTTGTCTGCTTTTTATTCTGTTGTATTTCGTCGATTGGTAGATATTGCTTATTTCCATTATTTACTTATTTATGGAAGGATCAAGAATACTGTGCTATCGTGTATAAATGAGAAATTACTTAATCTTAGGATTAACGCGGATTAAGCAAGATAGATCTGTAAAATGTACAGTTTTTTTAGATTTTATAATTTTTTATAGAAATTAGATGTTAGTGATGACGTAAATTGTGTTTAATTGACAAATGAGAATGACGGTGGTCTTATTTATTTTTTATTTCTATTATTTTCAAGATTATATTTAAAAAATAAAAATAATTTGGTTGCATACTTTTAAACTTTTTTAAGACCTGCAAACAACATTTAAAAAAAAAACTAAAAACGTGTATGTTAATTACAAGGTTTGTTTTTGTTAAAAGTCAACTGTCATTGGAAAGCAACAAATCGCGTCACACAAATATAGCCTATTTATTTAATATTATTTGTTTATTTAATAAACAATAATTGACGATTATGCTTCATCGACAACAGTGCCGGATTGAGCTCTTGGTCAGTAAGTAGGCCCTCATAAATGAAATGTAATACGTGAAAACACCTTTTTTTGCTCTTCAATGAGAGGGGACTTTTTTAATGAAAATCGGTGCATAAAAACGGTGGGTCCTTCTCCCTCTTGACCGGTAGGCCCTCGAGGTCCCAATCCAACACTGATCGACAAGAATTATTAGTGTACTCGTATATGATAAAAGTATCCTTTAGGTAAATATTAGAAGCTACTTTAAATTTATCAGGAAATTGGCCTAATAGTAGTATTATTATTATTAATACTTTAAATATGCTTCATCTTTTAAATTACTGGAGATATATAGTATCTTCTTTTGTACCTTTATTACAGTTTTACCTCTGGGGGAGAAGTAATTTCTTTTTCGTTTTTCGTGATCCTCTATCCGTCCATGTCGGTTCGAAATTAAAGGGTGCTCATTGTCGATATTTTTATTAGTCAATCATAATAAATAATGATCAATGAATTTCATATATCAAAAGCTGGAAAAAAAACTATTTCCAAAAACATTTTATTAATAACACTAAATCTAACTATTTTGTTTTTGACTATGTATTTATAGGTGGATTTTAGTGACTGTAGACTATTTTATGTAAATGTGGACAGACGTTGCGCCATCTTCTACTTTTTAATTATAATTCCCGATATTTGTAAATCAGCTTAAAACAAAACAAAAAACCTAAAATATTTTTTAAGTACCTTCGCATTGTTCATCTGCGTTCATTTGCATGCGGATACGTATTACTTTGCGCACTTGTTAGAAAAATAACCATTTTCACATTATTTATTTATACAATAAATCTACAATATTAATTTCTTTTTTTCAGGCAGCTTGGCTTACCGAATATAATGACCAATTCTGTTGAATTAACTCCGACTGAACACAAAGAAAAATGCATGAAGCTGGATTTCTTTATTGAACCGCAGAAAGAGATTTGTTCAAAATATGACAAAATATTGCCGGTAAGTTTATATATTTTATTTAGAAATTGAAAAGAATACCTACTTTTTCTACAATTAAGCCGTAATCTCTCCGGTCACGTCCTGGATGAGTGACCACTAGGAAGTTTCACCATGGTCCGTGTCACCATGGGACTTAGCCGACTAGTGTTTAACCATCGACGACGTTGAATGAATGACAGCGAATGAACGAGTGAATTGGTGAATAGGAAAGTAGTAGGACCTACAAATGGTGGTAATATAGACGGATTAGGGTAATAACACGGGAGTCTGAAAGGCGTAGAAACTACTTCTTCTACGATTATTAACCTTTATCGCGATCTATCGCTATATTATATACCTACTAACTTTTCCCCGCAACTTCGAATGTGCCAGCTAATTTTAAACTCAATTTTGTGGGGAATTGTACCCTGTTACGATCAAAGGGGAGATCGCTGGGTAAATAAAGTAATCCTCGACATACTGTTTCATCTTGAACACATCCGGTCAAAATAAATGCTTCCATTAAATGTTTATTAAGTATTTTAACTTGTAACCGAGTGCTGTTACAGAGTTTAACGGCTTGAGGATCCACAGAAGCATTATCGCATTTTTACAGAATAATCCTATGGCATAGAAGACCCGATGGATTAAGTAAATTCAAAAACTCAACCGAACCGTGTTTATTAAAATGTAGACTATTTCTTCTTCGTTAAAAGACTTTAACAACATATCATTAATTATGTAATCATAAAGAGTGACTTAGGGTCCGATTACAATTAGAAGAACACAGCTACATCATCATTTGGTTATCGCCACCTACTGGGGGTTTAGTGGAGTGCTAATATTATAGGGATAAAGAAAATATGGTTTTATACCTAAGAACTTATAGACCGAGAGATAACGACAGAAATTTCCGGGTCATTTTCGCAAGTTTAATTTTTTTTATATGAGTTATGCAAATAATATGTAACTCTTATATGAATATCTTCCGGCGCACCCTTACGATATAAATAACAATCCTTCTGTTTATACATTTTAACTTCACGCTATTATTTAATGGTATTTTTTTATTTTGACAGTATAGATTAATTTTTTAAAGACAATTTATTAGACTTAGGCAACTTCTCATAGATTTTCCCGTAAATACTGTTGCCTGCCTATATTTTGTGATGGTACTAGTCTTTTGAAAATTTTACGTCACCATGTAGGTATTATTAATAGCAATAAAAATCAAGTTATTTAATGAATCCTTTATTCTTCGATCACTTATTTCAACAAACCTACACAATTGTTACGTCGTCGAAATAAATGTCGAATCAAAACATTACAAAATATAATATTAAATAATAAAATACATTCCTTAACCTAATTATATCCAAGTTCAAGGAACTATAACAACTACAAAAATTATATACAGTATGATAATATATATATAAGTACTTATATTATTACAATTTTATTATTGATTATACTTAGTTTTTTTTTAGTTTAAGCGATAAGAATATGTAATAAAAATAATAATAAATTAATGTTTTACTTGTTTTACAAATCCATATACTTTTATTAAAACTAGCATATATACTTTTTAATTACGAATTTTGTTAAAATTTGTATTGTCAGTATACGTAAAAATAGTCCATTAGTACAAAAAATTAATTGGCGCTACTGTCACGCACGGGGCGAATTTATAAACTAAAAATAAAAAAAAATAATCATCTAATTACAACATAAAAGAGTTTATTATATTCACAATATATAACTATCGTTTCTTTTTGTTACAAGCCACAATGTACTACTTTGCGTTAGTGATACATAAATAGTATTTTGTGAAATTTGAGACATAAAAAAGAAACACTTTTTTTATTTTTAGATATTGGGAAAAAGCGCACGTTTGACCATAGAAGAATGTCAAAGTATATTTTCATACAGTCGATGGAATTGTACAACGTTCCTTGATAAGAATCATACTTTTGGAAATGTAGCAAAAATCAGTAAGTATTTTTCCATTTTTGATACTAGCACTCGTCACATTTTTGAAACCAATGACATTTACAATAATTGGTTGGTTTGATGCACACAGCTAGGATATATAGAGGGAGCATGGAGAGGCAGGCTTATACGTATTCAATGTTAAGCGATGTCACAAACATGTGGAATTTCAGATTGTTTCTTTTGACAAGGACTCAGTTCATAAACATAGAACATTTCCATTGGGAAAACAAAAAGCAATAATTGGTTATTTGTATTAAATGAATTTTCAGATTGTTTAATTGGACGTTTGGAGTTTACACTTTTATTAATAGAAACCAGATGCTAAAAATCTTATATTTTTTTTAAACAATGGATTTATTTATAATTTGATTGTTTATACTTGTAAAAGGAAATTTCTTCGCCTTTTCGAAATTGTTTATGGCAGACTGTACAGGACTTCGTATTCACAAACAGTTAATATTAATGTAAAGAATATACAAATATAAATAATAATAATAATAATGGTTTTGTATTTGCCAATACAAAATAGAAAGAAAAATACAATAGTTACAGTAATTAGGCAAATAAAAAGTCGAGTGATAGGTCATATATACATATATACAGCTTAAATTTGGCAACATTGTTTTCAGATGATTGTTGTCAGTCCTGATGTAAACATTTACGTTTTATGTGTGTTATTACTTCTCTCTATGATATAACCTTTATATATCCTAGCCTGTGGTTTGAAAAAACGATGAAAAGCTACTAGACTAATCCATTCATTCATAATTAAGCACTTATTTATTGCAATCATTCAGATTGTGTTTATTATTACGCAGAGAGAGCTGTCGCATCAACTGTAGAGTGGGGATGTTTTGTGCGATTATGTTTATCTGAGGAGCGAACATGCGTTTGACGAATGAATCAGTATTTACGACAACTACTGTCACACTTCAAAATTAATTACACTATACAACTATAATAGTTGCAACAAAAAAAATACATTACACTAATAATAACTGACATTAAGAATGCAAATATACTTTTCTAATGTAATTTTAAAAGCCTTTTATGCCCTTTAGAGCCTTATTTTTAGTCAATATCGAATTATAACCATAAGCAATCCTTGTAACAATACTCTCCTATACTCTCTCATATACTCTTCTATACTCTCCTATACTCTCCTATACTCTCATATACTCTCATATACTCTCCTATACTCTCCTATACGCTCCTATACTCTCCTATACTCTCCTATACTCTCCTATACTCTCCTATACCCTCTCATATTCATTTGACAACTACGGATGTTTGCAATTCTATTTTTATATACAAGATTAGTCTAGTAGTAGTTCCTCATTGGTTTAAAGCATTCTTGGATATCGTGCCGTAGTCTGGAGGCCACATCAATATAATTGAACGGGTATAATGAAAGTTCAACAATTTTATTCTCTTAAATATTTGTTTTCATACGAAACGCGTTTGCTATTATGCAGTCACTTGAAGTAAAAAGGAAACAATATCTTGTTTTGTTCCTTTTTAAATTACTTAATGGAGTGATCTCATACGACATTCTTTTGGAAACGATCATCTTTCTAGCTCGGCGAACACGGCCTACTTCTCTTTATTTACATTAGACAACATTTGAACTAACTATGGACAAAAGGCATTCCCTGACTGTATTTGCTTTTAAGCTGTGCTTAAACTATAATAAGTTTTATCCTGAATACGACATCTTCTATGTAAGCAATTGGTCCTTCTTAAGTCAGTGGGTCCTCGTTTAGTCAGTGGGTCCTTGTTGATGCAGTACCCTAGAGGAGAACGAAGAATTAAATGCGAAGAACCGGTAGGCCCTGGAGGTCTCAATTCGACACTGTAAGCTTACCAGCCTTTAAAAGAACTCTCAAATTCAGCTGCGAGTGACTTTGTGCTTAATATTGTTCTTAATGTGTTTTTTATGTTCATATTTTTTTATTATTTGGATGTTGGGATCCTATTATCGTCTCTACGTTTTCTTCTTGTACTTTTATTGCCTTTACTATGTAGTCCATTATGATTTTGAATAGCAGTAAACTCTCCTCTGGTGTTATACTTTTTTCATTAAAAACTCCTCCGATCTTTGTTGTACTATCTGTACTCTTACTTTAACAATCTTATATTAATTATATTTTCCGGCACTTTCAAGTCCTCCAAAACCTTTTATATTTTTCTTGTTCTAATATGGCGAAAGCTGCTCTCGTGTTAATGAATGCTAGATATAATTCGTCTCCTTCTTTCACTGTTTTTTCCATTAGTCTTCTCAGGATAACGTTTTAAGTAAAACAGCAACTTCCTTTTACCCAAATAATTTTTCTCAAAAATGCAAACTTTTTGAGATACATTTTATGTAATAGCGCCCCTTCCTGAACTGTTCAAAGCTTCAGAGGTTCACTCGTAAGAAGATGAATTTATAATTATTATCCTTTTTATTATAATACAAACTAAAAACGATTTGGGCATAATCATTCCAGAAAAAATTAACCATTTTAATTACTCTAAAGTTTATTCTAACTTTCAGGAAGTAGAGAAGCTGCTTACCTATCAGCAATATCAGCGGCTAGCGTAGCCTACGCAGTAACCAGAGCCTGTTCGAAGGGCGAATTGGCGGAATATTGTTCCTGTGATAATAGACTTAAAAAAAGAAAAACGCACCAATTCAAATGGGGCGGTTGTTCAGACGACATTCGATATGGTGAAAACTTCAGTAAGCACTTTTTAGATATACGGGAAGATCCCAACACCGCATTGGGTCTCATGAATCTCCACAATAATGAAGCAGGTAGACGTGTAAGTATTTTTTGTTGAAAATATAATTTGGTGTTTTGTTTGCTTATTTATTCAAACTATGAATAATTTTGATTTCAGATCAAACCGAATACACATTATATTTTTTTTGTCCTTAGAGTGTCCGATCGAGAATGCAGCGCACTTGCAAATGTCACGGAGTTTCAGGATCCTGCAGCATGCAGATATGTTGGAAGCGTTTGCCTCCGTTCAAAAAAGTCGCCGAAGGGCTATTTCAGCGTTACGAAGGTGCATCGCACGTAAAGTTCGTCGAAAGGCGTAGAAAGAAATTAAAGGCCGTCAGCCCAGACTTGAAGAAACCCATCAGAACTGATTTAGTTTATTTGGATGATTCGCCGGATTACTGTGAGCGGAATGATTCGTAAGTATTAAAAAGACACTTAATTAAAATGGACGAGGTTATGTCGATATACATTCATGTAGTGTTTCATCCTGGTGGTCTTTATAGTGACAGATTTAGGTGCACTATTTTCGCATACAAGCCTCGAAGAGGGTTGAAAATTACATTGAAAATCGGAAAAATCCTCGTCATTGGCAATACTGTCGCCATAAATACACTAGCGAACCTAGCGGATTTTTCGTTTTCATTTATTTTTAAATGGGAATGTATAACCTACCCTGGATCATCAACATGGGATGGAACTGAGAATTAACTGTCATATTTAATTTTAAGTTTGATCATAGATAAATAAACAAATAAAAGAGTTTTTAATACTCCAAAGCTTTCAAATAATTTATAATGTATTATTTCAGATTGAACATCCTGGGAACACACGGAAGGATCTGCAACAGGACCAGCCATGGCATGGATGGCTGTCGACTCCTTTGCTGCGGCAGGGGGTACCAAACGAGAGTGAGAGAAGTTGAAGAGAAATGCAACTGCAGATTCGTCTGGTGTTGCAACGTAGTATGTGATATATGTAGATCGAGAAGGGAAGAGCATGTATGCAATTAAAAATGTACAAAGAAGGATTTTTGACACGAGAGTATTAATATGGAGTCGATGCTGAGATAGATCAACCAACGGGAGTGGCAGAAGAAGGAACCACTTAAACATTTCGATATTAATGCAGAGTTATGAGTTACAATGTTATACTGATAATAATGTTTGTTATATAACCGAATAAATACGGCAAATTATGTAGGTACTTGAAAAATATACATTTTAAAGGTGTTGGGGGATGAACCAAAGTGGTATTTTTTAAAGAGCGGGTTCTTTACAATAATACTATAATTATTATAAGTTTTACGATACAAAAAGACAAGAAAATGATTTTACTACAGACACAAATTATGTTTTTATACTGCTCCTCATTTTTTCACCGGATATATGGTTTTGTTCAATCTGCATCATCAGAAATATTCGTCTATACTCCATATAAGCGTGAAGTAATAATGCTTTCACTGACAGTTAATTCTAACCAAACTTTTAACAATAATTGACATATACGTTTTTACTGTTTTTGTTTTTTTTATTAAATATCGTTAGCAGATTATAAAAAGTAGTTTAAAGGTATCGCCGTTCCGGTAAAACAATGACGCAAGTGCAAAATTGTGACATTTTGATTTTAACATGTCATTAGTTTCCAAATTAGTCTCTCTATACGGTATAACAACGGCGAAATTTTTTATCCACTCCCGGCCACCTAAATGGTAGTTACTTCAATTTTCAAATATTAATGTTTGCCCCTCCACTTTTGAAAAACAATGACATATGAATCAGTTGTGTCTGCAAATTTAAGGGAGACATTACTTAGTATATGGTTAAATGTTGTATTTGCTATTTAGGACAAGTTCTTTGTGATTTATGTGCTCAAATTTGGAAGTAATAATATTCGTTTTTCGTCTCTCCTGAAAAAATTATAATTTTGCATTTGCGTCGTTGTTTTACCGGAACAGCGGTATGTAATTGGTTACTAAATGAATATATACTTGATGCAAGTTATCTACTTTACAAATATATTTATAAAAATTTAAAATCATTTAGGTAAACAATAAATGCACTCAAATAAAATACTGTCACTGTAATTGTCAGTGGAACCAAAATTACGTCATCACTAAATTGGCATATAGGATTAGTTATGCAATGCCTTTCTCTCGGTCTTCTCCTAAATTACTCTTGATTTTTTTATTTCTATTTTAGTATCTGAATAATATGAAAAACCGATTGAGCGATCAGAAAAGCGTTGTTTTATGTCAACAAATAAAAAGTGAGGATCAAAAATTAGGGTTTATTAAAGAATAAAAACACTAATAATGGATTTTATTTGTTGCACTAGTGTCACACTCGACTCTATAATAGAACTGTCATACTTGTCAAAAGTATATGGCACACTCACAGACATGGATAAAGGAGATAGGAAATGTCATTTTCATCAGGCACGTAGAATTAGGCATTCCAATGACCTGTCCAAATGGCTACCAGTGGGTAATGACAGTTTAGATATGGCAAACCTGTTGTCATGTTGTCATTAACAGGGTCAATGATACATATATAGTTATATAGATTGCTCAAAGCTGGTCGTTTACGAGCGGCCATATTGCCTGGCAAATATTTATTAATTTGAATTGGTTTAGCAAAAATGTGTTTTAAAACCAATTTTTAGCCTTTAGATATTAAAAAAAAATAATTGCTTACATTTTTACTTCAAGGCATACGCTTATGTTTATTTTGAAAAATATGGATAATCAATCTATGTAACTATCTATTTCATTGACCTTGTCAAATCACCAGGTCTACAGGGTTGCCATAATTTTGCAATATCATAACCCGTCAAAGCCCACTGGTAGGCATTCAGTTTGGAATACCTAATTGAAGGCGGCCATCTTTAAAAAAAAAGCGACCCACACACTTGCGCATTGATTGTATATTGAAGTGTACAGGATAGGACTAACACATTTAAACATAATTCGAAAATATTAAGGATTTACTTACATAGTAGAACTAATATAACTTTAATTTTCTTTTTTTATGGATTTTAAGAGATTTCTAAAAATAAAAAACATCATAGTCTTTTTTGAAACTTTATTTTAAATTAAATAAAAACAGAATATATTTAAAATACTATTTTATATGAAATGAATACAACAATCCAAGGCCGTCATATATTTTGTAGCAAATAAATCTGGAATCACGTGATTTAAACAGAACTTTCATATTAAAAACTATCATTTTGTAGGTATGTAATTATTACATGGGAATATTGATTGCTCAGATCTTGAAAGTATTTTATTAAAAACTTCAAAACTAAGGAATTTAAATATATTTGTAATATCGTTCCAAAGTACTCTATGGCATGCACTTGAGCATACATTAAGAATCATCAATCAAAATAAATAAGAGATTATGGGCATATTCCTACTAAAGAATAGAGTAAATTTAAAACTATCAAAAGGGAAATAAATCCAAACTTTAACGTTTCCCTTCGAAAAACAACTACTTCTTTGGCTAATTCCGAAGCAGACATTGAATTGAAGTTAAAAAAATTCATATTTCAATATTCAAACTTTGATCTTGCTTACCATAGATAACGTTATTCTTGGACCCGTTTTGTCCTTATTAGGACTCATCAGCAAGGAATAGACATTCTCGATTTCTGTCACTAGAGGAATCTGAAAAGGCGGTAAATTCACCCGCTTACATGGACGGAGGTTGTGAGAGAATAAGTAGTAACAAAGCTTCGATTTTGCCAAGTGCGAAGAGTTTTACTTTTTTATCTTCTGTAATAAATACTACAGTAAATATATTATGATAACATTATGTTATTAAACTTAAAACATTTATATTACATTAGAAAATGGCACCAATAAATTATAAATAAAAAAAACCTATTTAATAAAAGTTAATAAGGAACAAAAAATACAAATTTAGTTTTTTAAATTTTCATTGGTGTTTGAACAATGTCTTTAAGGTTTTTATTAATCTTGATATGTGATTTTCCTATAAATAAGGGTAGATACTCATAAATGACACTTCTGTCAAAACAATACAACAACTGCGCATGTGCGTTGTACGCTTAATTTGCCAACATGGTATTACAGGTATTTTCTAACCATGATGTTTGATCCATGTCTCAAACCTCCCACATAAAATCTGTAAATCCCTCCCCTCGTACTAGTATCCACAACAAATTAGAGCTGTGGCAAACCGTATGTATTCGTTACTCAGTAACGGGTAGTCGGTCAGATACGAAATACGAATTCGTTACTGCATTTTAAATTTCGTTACTCGCATCCGCATCGTCGCATAACGCACAATAATAATACTTGAGAATACATACCGCCACCGGTTCGGTGTGCAAGATGCGAGATGGCCCGATGGGCGATGCGAAATGCGAGTGTGGCCTTGATGCGAATCGACTATCGAACCGCACGTTGACTGGGACTCGAAACGTACTTTTGTTTATATTTATGTATTTATTTATTTCAGTTTTAAAGAATAGTATAATAGTTGTTTTTCTGTTGCGTGTTGCAAGAATATAATATGTTTTTGTTTATTAAAGTTATGATTTTATAGAGTATTATTATTGTTTCTACTAGTGTGTTAGAAAAATATATATGTTTCTGTTCAACCTGTCTGACGATATTTTATTTTGCAAAACTTCACATCAGTTCTCATTGCTCATGCTCAGTGAACTACACGACTTTGTTACTAATTACAAATTCCAAATTCGCTATGTATTTATTTAACCAACGATTCGATATCTAATTTCATCCGCACCCTCTGTTAGACAGTACCAAAACCTAACAACCGAAGCAATGCGTACGTACGATTAGTTACCGACACCAATTCCGCATCCGCATAGACGTGTATGAGGTCCACACGATGCGTGTTCTGTAGATTCGTATCACAGTAACGAAAGTAACGAGTAACGAATATTTTTATACGGGTAGTCAGATCCGAAGTAACGAATACATACGGGTATTGATTTTCTCGTTACTTTTACAGCTCTACAACAAATTACGATTTTCAGGTTAAAACTTAATCTAACAAATAATTTAATACATGAAAGTATGTTGAATTAGTATGTTATTCGTGTAATTCATCCATATATTTCCAAATATAATAATATGAATAAAGAATCCTCATATAATTTATTAAAAAACTTACATTGTTTAGCCTCAAAAACAACTTTTTACTATAACTTTCGTAAACGACTTCGATTTATTGTCGAACTTAGATAATGGGAAAGAAGCAATGATTAAGCATCCACTAAACGGAAAAGTAAATTTATTTAAGGATACGTTACCAATGCAATATTTATGGCTCAAACCTCCCTCTGGCTCAACCCTCCCCAGTCTCCCCTACGATACAGATTTTATGTAGGCATTTAATAAGTACCTACAATGTAAAATAAGAGCAATTTAATGGTACCAACATACAAATTTTTGCTTTATTCTAATTTTTGGTCTATTTTGTTTTTCAAGGTTCATAATTTTTAATAAAAACTCTAAACCGTATTTAATTGGTTGTGTAACATGTCAGTTTTGTGTATATGTCCAATAAACGATGTTTAATTCTTTTTTTATGCAGAAATAAATAGAACACCTTGTTTGTGTATGTATTTACTTATACTTCATGCTCACTGAAGTTAGTTTTGTTATGATATGATTATCAAGAATTTGAATGATATTTGAGTGTTCATGTACAGATATGTGCCAAAGTAGTTGCCAATTATTGTATAGATATATTTAGTGTTTTATCTTGCCTCTTTAAATAGCGTAGCTTTTTGAAAAATAGGGCACAGAGAATACGCGAATGCTGCACTTTTTTATATTTTTTTGTAATATATATAAATATAATATAAAATATATTTTAAGTTTTAGGTTATAAGACATATAGGTTTCTGTTGTTTAAGTCTAAATTAAATACAGAATAGAGGCAATCAAGGAGAAGGTAAAACAAAAATGCTAAAAAAAATACAGTATAGTGCCACTAATAATCGTAGTCTTTTAAATATAAGATTGATGAATATGTATTATAATATATACAGATATCTGCAGCAGAATCCTATATAATTATTTATTATATTTTAATATGTTGTACAATACACTTTTAAAAACTACTTAACATTTAGATAATCTGGTTCCTTATAGATGTTATTCACAAATTTTTACATTCAAACTTTGGTCCATTCGTTTTAAAACATTTTTAGTTTATTTAATGTTAATATTTTTTTCAAAACTTTTAGTTTTAGAATACTGTGGAATATAGGCAATAAAATAGCTGATCAAACATTTAGGGGACCTAAAGCGCAAAGTACCTACTTTTTAGAGAGTTATAGAGAGTTTTATTGGAACAAAAAAGATGTGTAATCTTCACATTCTCTTCAATTATTTATTACAAAATAAATCTTTTAAATAAATGAGTCAAACAGAAGAAATTACATTTCAAAATTTGTGAATAACGTTTTTGAGAATAAAATAAGTGTCTAGAATTTAATGTGTAAATGAAAACAATGGTTTTAATTTCTTATAAGCTCTATATAGTTGTAAATATTTATATTTTAACCAATTTATTATTATAAGGACCCATATGGACATCAATACTTTACTTATTAGTTTGTAGTTTTGTACCATACAATAGTAATCTGTGATTGTTTTATTTTGTTTATTTAATTACATTTTTTATATATTGTAGCTGAAAGAAGATCGAAATACATATGGCACATTATATTGAGGAACAAAAACCAAATGATACAAACATCAACAAAAAAGTAATAATAATAAACGGGAAATCAAAATTTGATTTATCTAGATCAACAAATTCGAATAAAAATAATTTTAAACAAAAATACATAGAAAATAATTCGATGTGATTGATTTTTCAGGTTTAGATTTTTTACTTGATATATTCTGCCATTCAATCTTATTTCTGTCACTAATAAGTTTTTCCTACCTAATTAATGTTATCGCAAAAGGCCTACTACACCGAACATAGTATCTTTATGTTTAAATAGGTTTATAATTATTATGTAGGTACTATTGAACAATGTATATCGTTGAAAAGCATTTTTAAACAAATACAAAGGGAGAACTTGTCATTTAGTTCTCCTTTTGTATCCTAGAAATGGTTTTAAGCATTTTCTGACAACATCTTTAGTATCCATTGTAAATTTGTCTTTAATAATTGTAACCTCGTAATACTTAAAGAATCATTTTCCGAAAAAATCAACGTTTTTATGAACTAAACAATTCTAATTTGATTGAATATTTGTTATAAACCTGGGTATATATGTGACTTGACTGTTTTATACCTACATCATAAATATATTTAATAATTAGGATATGAATGTAGACACAAAATGTACTTAGTTGTAACAAAAATGCACTGATATAATAAAAAACATTAATATAAAGAAGATTTATAAAATTTTATCCCATTAGTTACTTATTTAGATTTAGCAGTATGTAAGTAGAAATGTATGTCCATGCGTCTGTAAATATTAATAATTATACCTATACTTAATTTATTACAAAATATAAAAAACGCCAGTATTAAAATATTTCCTAGTGTGATGGTTTGTTTTATTTTTTCCGTTCAATTGACAATAAAATTCGTTAATCGGTTATGGTTCAAATTTACAACAAAAAAGTTTATTAATATGAGCAAACCTTAGAGTTTTAAATAATATAGACACAAAGCACTTTTGCAAACCGCTTCAATTGCCAATCCCCAGGCACTTTCGTACAATGCTTTAATGTATCAAAATTGCCAAATACTACCAAGCACAGTATTTAAAAAATATAGCAACAAATATCTACTCAATGAAACCTATTTGAAGCTCTTTAAAGACTTCAAGTACATATTGAAAAATATTTGAAGCTATTATGATATTAAGGGATTGGAAAATTGCCACTAATGAAGAAAAATAAAACCCTGCCAAAAATAGCAGAGCTGTTCTCTTGTCTAGCAAAGTAAATCACAGTTTATTTAGAAAAAACATTTATAATAGTACAGGTTACGAAATAAAGTCGACCTTCCCCATCTGATTACCGGATGAAAGATATTTTACATTAATTTAAATATGTTTATAAATATACCGCAAATGGGTTGCCTAAGAAAATACGGTCAATGACTATAAGGTTCTGTATGTACACGTTGGAGGTGTACGGCCCTCTTCTTCACCAGGAGGCTGTCTTCCAAAAAAAAGATCATGGGGACGTTTCATCTCCCTTCCAGTAATCATCATAAATGAAGTACGTATAACTGGTCGATTCATGTTTAAGTTACTTTGAAAAATAGACATAACAACCTTCAAATATTTGTTTTCCCTCTCTGGTAAGGGAAGTGGTCTAAAGATATCTATAGAGATTCGTTTGAAAGGCTATCCGGAAAGCGTACTGTGCCATTTTACCTCGGCTTCTTGTTTTATGTCTTTTTTTATCATTGCATAAATCACATTTCTTACACCAATCTTCTACATCCCATTCGCAATTGAACCAATAAAATCTTTTTCGTGGTAGTGTTCTCTTAGTACCAACATGTGGCTGCTATGAAGCTCCTCCTGCTATGAAGCTCCTCCAACACACTTATGACATGTTATTTTGGCAGTACCATTTGGCGGACTATATATACTCCATCGTGGCTCTCCCACTTCAGATGCAATAGGCCATAGTGACGATACAGAAAATATCACCGAGTCCAGTACCCTTTTATAGTTCCACTATGTTTGGCTATCTTGTCAAGTAAGTCTAACTATATTTTTGAGCCATTCTCGGTTAACCTTCAAGTCATTGCCTTAATTTTGACTCTTTCTCAGATTTTCAAGGGTAATTTTGTCTGGCTTGATAGTGATTGCCTAAAGACTAACTCCTTCAACCGGCTCCTCTCGTTCTTCGAGCCTTTTACAGTATCTACATTGTCGTTCTAAACAGGGTCGCCTGGAAAGAATATCTGTGTTGTTATGAAGACGGCTTCTTCAGTGCACTACTACCTGATTATTTGTTAGAAAGCCGGCTAGGTGTGAATGACTGGCTTCTCAGGAAGGCATATCTGCTGTAATTATTTTTTGTTGGACTTCGTGACGGGCTTCGGATGGTTGCTCTAGGTGAATTTCTGGCCTTATTTCCCGATTTTCGATTTATAGAACGAGCCCTGCTCCTACAGGTTCTTTGAAAGTATCCGATTCTTCCGCATTTGAAGCATCTTCTGCTTTCATTTTGGTGGCTTCGTTGCATATTTTGCAGGATATTTAAGATTAGTGACAAATAAGGTTGGCGAATAATATTAGTAGTGACCTCTTCACTTTCATGGAATATAATGTCTCTCAATTTTGCGCGAGAAGATCTAAATATGATTTTTGCTGCTTCATATTTCTGGCCTGCAATCAGTTTCTCCCTCAGAGTCTTGTGCGTAGCCATAGAACTTATTGCTGCATTTTCATAACTTGTTGTCCATCAATGAATGCCTGCATGTCGATTTGTTCTAGAAAATCTTTGGGCACCTGTGGATAGGCCAGATGACGCAATCTTTTTATATCGGCCTCAAATTCCTGTAGACTCTCATTATGTTTCTAACCACGAACCTTTAGATAGCTTTGAAATACCCGTTTCAAATGCTGCCATATCTTGTCTCCAAATCTTGGACGAGATATGAATAACTGGATTCTTCATGGAGAAGTAACTGTAAAACGGTTGCTGCCTGTCCTCGCAGCGACACTATCAATGAAGCCGCCATCTCTTTTTCGGCCTAGCCATTGTCTCTAGCTGCAGCTTCATGAGAGCTAAAATGTCTTAACTTTTTTCCCGTTACAAAAACAAGCACATTTTATGTAAATAATTGATGAACAATTAAAATCTATAACATTTTTGCGAAAAGCACATCGGATCATGATGATTTAAAACTTTCAAAGAAGAGATACATCCCTGCATCTCTTTCAATTACTGTACAAGTAATTCAGTTACTTTTAAAGTCATTCGTTTACTTTAAAAATCCTTCAATTACTCCTAAAATAATTCAAGCACCTATAAAAGTAATTCAAATACTCGCATAGGGCTTTAAAATGTCAAATACTCGTTTAAAAAAGTATTTGAAGCTTTGAGAATGCTTCAAGTACTTCATTGAAGCACTTGCAAAAGCGCTTTACTAGCTTTATACAGTGGTCTACTTAAGTTGGAACCATATGGAAAACTTTTTTATTATTGGTTTTGTGAAAAAATGTATTTGTGTAAAACGTAAATAATCACCTAACCTTAATTTTTATGCTAAATGACTGTAATTGCATATTTGAATATAAATTTTAATTCAAAATAACTTTACTTTATAATGTTCTTCTGTATTGTAAAAAATAAAGGTACTTTACTCTCGAGTAAAATTCATATTTTTAGACAAACCTCGTATACAGCTTAAATAAATTGATATCTGATGGTTGCATTTTAAGTTTTGAACCATGCAGAACTTTTTACCAAGAATACATTTTTTCACAAAACCAATAATAAAAAAAGTTTTCCATATGGTTCCAACTTAGGCAGACACACTACACTGTATACAGACGAAATAGCAGCAGTAAGACAATTTGTAATTATTTATTAAAAATACAGTAGTGTTTTAATTTTTAGTTTTATCACAAGGACAATAGAAATATATTTCTGAAATAAAATGCATACAGAAAAGTGTCGTAGAAAAATAATATTCGGAGGTATTTTAGGCCTAGACCGAACCTGTGTAATGTGAATTATATAACTAAACTCCGTTTGGTTTAACCACTGAACAGTTTTAATTCTATCACTTTTTATACCTCGTAAAATCGTGGTTTTCTCTCTCTTATTACCGATCTAGTTCAGATACTTTCTATCACTTTTTAATTGTCAATTGTCATTTGTCATTGTCGTCCTTGCTGTCGAGAGCCGTGGTGCTTCATCCTTTGATCGTTTTACAATTTTTTAGATTTAAATCAAAATTATCTAGTATATTGCAACAACTAATAAAAAATTACCAAAATGCTTTCCAGGGCAGCAATTCTATCAGGTATAAACCATTAAATTTACACTAACTTGATCAATATGATAAAATCATTACCTACCGAAATCGTTTATGTAATAGGTCGAGTTATTTATCTTTTCCGATTTTTCAGGACAAACCTCAAAATCTCTTGTAGCTTCTTGCTTAAGGGCCACCAGTACATCATCACTAAATAACCAAGTCGCCAAAACGGATGATAAACCTACCGAAGTTGGTTTTCAAAGACCTGTAAGTATTCATCCTTTAGGCAATTTTAAAAAAATATCTTTATTTTTGCATACTTGGAATATTTATACACAGAGAATAAACAAGTGCATACCTTGGTTTATAGCATTCAATGATAATAACAAAAATAATCAAATTTATAAAATAGTTCTAGCATTTTAATAGATAAGTTTTACTAGATTATCATAAATATTTTATTATAGGTCAGGCAAGAACCTGGAAAAGTAAGACTTGGGTTCGTTCCAGAAGAATGGTTCCAATTTTTCTACAAAAAAACTGGTGTAACTGGTCCCTATACATTTGCTTTTACTTTATCAACTTATCTCGTCAGCAAAGAAATTTATGTATTGGAGCATGAGTACTATACTGGACTTTCTCTAATTATCATGTGGGTCTATGGTATTAAGACTCTTGGACCTAAACTAGCTGCATACTTGGATAAAGAAATTGATGTATGTAAATATAACTTTTGTAAAATTTTTATTAAATGGTTTTAAAAATTTCAGGAGTTTGAAAAAGGATGGAATGAAAGCAGAGAGGAGCAAAAAGCAGCCCTCAGCGACCAAATAAAGGATGAAGAGAAGAACCAATGGAGTGTTGAAGGCCAAAATGTCTTAGTTGAAGCCAAACGCGAAAATGTAGCTCTCCAATTAGAAGCTAACTATAGAGAACGTATCATCCAAGTCTATAGTGAAGTTAAAAAACGTTTGGATTACCAAGTTGAAAAACAAAACATTGAACGCAGAATTACTCAGAAGAACCTGGTAGATTGGGTTGTAGCTAAAGTCAGATCTTCAATTACCCCTGATCAAGAGAAGCAAAACATTAATAAATGCATCAATGATTTATCACTTTTAGCTAAAGCTTAAAAAATTAAAGTTATAGAATGAAAATCGTCTTAAATGTTATAATTTATGTACAGTTATATAAGTTAAGCTAAAATTGTAGACATCTTTATGGATTTTGTCAACTTTTTATTCTTACATGGTACATTTATACAATGGAATTTAATAAGTTTATTTAATAATATATTTTACTCCTAAAAATAAAGTTATCTTGAAAATTATATCAGGTTTTTCCTTTATAATGAATACATTATTTCAAATGTGTAATTTTTTAGGAAAATTTTAGCTAGATTTGACTGTTTAAACTGCTTAAGCGTGCAGGTTTCTTGAAATTATACATTCTACCAAACTGATTATTAAAGAAATAAAAATAAATAGTGAAATAATTTAAATGGTTTGATTTTATTACAGCCAATCAGATGTTCTATTAAACAAACCTCTCATCTGGAATAAGAGAAACTCATAAAAAATTATTTAAAACATACCTTAAAAATGGTTAAAATTAACTCTGGAAAAGTAATTTTCTCAAGAAGTAACAAACAATATAGGAGGGCCCCAAGGGTCAGTGTTAGCTCCCATACTTTTCACAATTTATGTAAATGAACTTCCTGAATTACTTTACCATGCAATCACAATTCTCTATGCAGATGATTTGACTTTCTTTTCTAATTTTATTAAAGAATAATTAAAAAAATAAATTTATGTGAAAATATTTTCGGAATGGGCTAGTAATCTCCCATTATTATTTAATATTACAAAAACTAATTACATTTATTTCCATATATATCAAAATTCTAAAATACCTTGTCTAGATATATCTGTAAACAACACCATGGGCGCCGACAGGGGGGAAGACAAAGGGGACGATTGCCCCTCCTGGAAATTTCTAAGTAAAAAAAAAAATTATGCAATAGCAACTTCTGTCAAACAATTATTGGGGCATAAACTTAACTGATAATAATAGAATGTTCACAGCCAATACTAGATAAGTCGGGAAAAATGACTCATATAGATATTATCAAACAATTTTGAGTGCTCTTTCTGTTAATATACTCCGGTTTGTGAAATTTCGTATCTAAGTATTGTTCACTGGTGTTCCGAAAAATCTATATATGAGTAAAGAGCATTTTTTTCGAAACTATTAATCAATAGAACGAAAATTTGATATATTGTCTTTATTTCAGTACATCAATAGCAGACTAAAATTTAGAAAAAAAAGCAATTCGTTTAATCATTATAAGTAATATGTACTATAAACTGACGCAAGCAAACCATCAAAAGCATTTATTTGTATTTAAAAGAACATAAACATACTTAAACGGCAATATCTTCATAACCAAATTTTATTACTTCCCATACAGCACAAACACATTTCGGAAATATTTCAAAAATGTTACATTGAAACATTTGCAATGTATAAATATTACGAAACATTTCTGAAATATGCCTGAAACGTAAAAATGTCCTCTAAATATAATATTTCACAGTAATATTTCTGAAATGAAAATTTAAAATCTTTTAGAAATATTAAATAGTAATATTTTAGAAATGTATTCTAGTTATTTTTCTAATATATTATTAGACTAAAAGAAGACATTAAAAAATATATGTTTATTTAAAATACACAAAACTCAAACATTGATTCTTAAACAAACAAATATGTTTTAAAGAATATTTCATAAAATATAGAAGTGAATTGTTTCTATTCCACCAATTCCTTTAAATGCACTAATTTGAAACAACTAGGTTTTTTTAATAAATGTTTCAAGTAAAAAAACATTTACGATTATTATAATCTAATTATTATGATCAATTAGCATTTTTACCTAACTTATCTAGGGATGAACAACTTCATAAACTAAGATTCTACTCACTATATAGTGTACTTTAGAGTATAAATAGGGAGTTTTAGCAAACAGCCGCTAACCATCCGCTAACGTTCCCTTAGGGATAGACTGTAATCTACTCCGTTCAATGTTTACGAAAAATGTCACAATCTAAGTTTAACGTAACGTTAGCGGAAATCTAACGTATATTTGCTAAAACTCTCTATTATATAGTTACACTAGCGTTAACGTATAACACTTAACCACACCATATTCTGTTTTAATCTAACTAACTCAAAAGGCCTGGTTCTCTGGAGTCTTCTTATTGGATTGGCATTGTTGAGGAGCTGGATATAATCTCAAGGTTTCCATATGTTGGTGACTGGCAAATTTTTCTATTGTATTTTCAACAGTCTCTACTTTAATATCCCTATGAATATTAGTATTACGGCAGTATCAGGATGCGTCGACGATGTTCCTTAATACTTTATTCTGGAAACGTTGAATAACTTGGATGTTATTTTCAGTGAAATATTTAACTAAAATATTTCAGAAACTTGTGCTTGAAATGTTATATGTTTGAAATATTTCTGTTTTTGAAACATTTCTGAAATAATGTGTGCTGTATGGGTTATGGGGTTTTCGCTATGGAACTTCGGTATATTTTTATAGAGTATCTAATACCTTAAAACGGTAAATTTGACAATCACGCCTAAGCTCATTATATTCCGTATCGTATTACACGATAGTGGATAGCGTCTATAAATTACTACATTTCTGTAATTTATTTTAAAAAATTCACAATTTTGCATTCTTACCCCTCCCTGGAAAAAGTTCTGACGGCGCCCATGCAACACACATATAAATAAGTCAAGTGAAAATTTATTTATTGTTGAAGAATTAATAACATTCTTATTAACAAAGATAGATATATTTTCATGAATTAAATTTTTTGTTCGTTTTAAAAATTCTAATGTCGAGACATAAAATACAAAGAACAAAAATGCATAATGCACAACACCAAGTACTAAATATGGCAATCGAGAAATATATACAGAGTATCCCGAAATTAGACGGTCCTATTTGAACAGGGTAATCTACATCCTAAAATAGGAGTAAAAGTTCATATAAACATAGGTCCAAAAACGTTTCTTTTCCGAGATACAGGGTGTTAAAAGTGAAGTCCTGATGACACACTTTTGTAAATATTTTCTAATCGTTTAAAGATAACTAAGTGAAATTTGGTAAAAATACTTACCTTTTTACGCTCTATTTAATGGACTAAACCCCAGTTTTTGATCATCTTCATAAGTGGGTAAATTATGGGAGGATTATGGTAAAATTGCACTAAGTTTTTTTGTTGGCAGTTTTTACCAATTTTGACTATAAAAGTTGGAAAAACAATGTTTTCTTTATAATAACGCTACTTTTGTTGCATCTCGCTAGGGACGCACCATTTTCAAGAGAAAAGCATTTGAAAATTTCATGATAAAAGCTGATGTTATCTTATTCGAAACTGTAAACAATAATTAGTAGGCCTGTGGAATCAGAAATTTAATTTTTTTTTAACTTTGGAAAACCGGTGAATAAAAAAATATTTACAAAATTGTGCCATCAGGACTTCACTTGTAACACCCTGTATCTCGAAAACGAAACGTTTTCGGAGCTATTTTTATATGAACTTTTACTCCTATTTGAGGATGTAGATTACGCTGTTAAAATATGACCGTCTAATTTCGGGACACCCTGTATAATACAGGGTGTTAAAAAAAAGTGTCACAAAATAAAACGGGGGGTAGTATGGGCCAAAATATGCAGAAAAGTCTTAATAAACATATGTCCGCAAATGAATGGTTTCAGAGATATTTGTGTTTTGTATCATTTTTTGATTATCTTTTTTCATTCTCAAAAACTTGCTTTTCTTATCGGAGTCTACCGATGTTTTTTTCATAGATACTATTTGCAGTTATTATTTTGTTGTGGGTGAATAATTTTATAAATTTTCGTTATGCCTGTTTACACTAATATTGAATTAGCTGACATGCATTTTATGTACGGTCGTGCAAATGGCAATGCGAGGGAAGCGCTACGTCAGTATTTGAACATCTCATTTAACTCTATGTTGTTATTGATTGTTTATAAATATCATTGTTTTTTTATAATAATAAAAAATTGTTATAAAAACAAAATGGTCCGTATCTCCGAAACCGTTAATTTGCGGTCATATAATTATTAAGACTTTTCTGCTTATTTTGGGTCATACTATTCACCATTTCATTTTGTGACACTTTTTTTTAACACCCTGTATATAATGAACTACTTTAACCGATCACAGAAAAAAATCCACTTTATCGAGCAAGAGTTTCTTGACTTGATTTCCAATATAAATATGTTTAACAAGTCAGCACTTCTTATACTAATTGGCGGTGGTTAAACATCTTCCCGCTCTATTCAATAGAGCCATGTACCAAACTGGAAAAGGGTATAGACAAGGGAAGGTAAAAAATTCTTTGGGTATTGCTGTAGGCAATTATATTAAATTTATTATGTTTTAAAAACTAAGGGTACCGTTTTTAAAATAAATAGACAAGTAGTGAGTGTTAGTATATTGATTTCTCTCATACCAACTCTGGGCAAATTAATTGAAAAACTTGTTAAATTTTGCTTACATGAGTTTTTAAATGAATTCAATATTCTAACAGTGAATCAGTTTGGATTTCGTATCAAATCTAGCAAAGCAAATGCAATCTTTAACTGTTTCGAAACAGTTTACAATAGCATTAAAATAGGCGAAGCTGCTGTAGCAGACTTCTTTGACTTAATAAAAGCGGGACCAGTGCTTTAAAATCGAAACTGTATCGCCACAATCGAATATTATGCAGCCCGTTAACGAATTTTTATCATTGTAATTCATACTATTTAAAAATAAAAATTATTATGTTAATAAGTATTGTTTGTAGTGGCTCGTCATTGGCTTATAATTTTCCCGAGTGACCCCATTGGCTATAAGTCTGTATCCCTGCTTTATACTATTATATAGTTGAATTTTATTATGCCAAACATAGTTTTATATTAGTTATAAGTGTAACTTTTATGTATTTTATTCGTTTTACTTGGATTTTATTTTAACCTTTTAATTTTTTATTTATTTATATAATTCATGTGTGAAACAACACAGTTTAGTCCAAAAACACAGCGATCAGGGAATTAATTATTGTACAACTTAGGTACTACGAATAAATTACCCAATCCCGTCTAATTGATAATAGGAATCAAATACAAGAATGACATCAGTAAGCCGGAGACTCGTCAAGATATACGGCTGGTTTACAACAAATAATAGCTTTAAAAGTTTATATCCGCAATCTAGAACGGTTTACCTTTTTCCCGTTGATTAGATAGGCGGTACGTTGAATTTAAAATCTAGTATTCCGAGCTGTCA